CAGTGCAGTCAGCAAGAGGTTTTTGGCTATTTCGCTATTTTACCTCATTAAACCCTTAACTACATCAGCCAAAGCTCACCTCTTCATTTATTTAATGAGCTACTGAGTGTTATTAATAACATAACCCTGGACAGCAAGCGGCAGCTCTTAGCCAGGAGCCCGCTGGCTGTGCTGACCCTGTGGCTTTCCCAGAGGACTGAGACCCTTCTCATGCTTCATTCCACCACTGCAGGCTGCCTGGTTTGACCACATGTCCTCCTGCACATCCTCTGCTGGTAACATTCCCCCCCTCCCCCACAAACATTTTGGGATTGGACAAACAAAGGATACTGGGAACACTGGATAAAGATCCAAACCCACTTTGTTTTCCACAGAGCCCATTATTTCATATTTGCTACTAAACAACCATCAGATAATATATTTTTTTTAACTTACTACCAAATTCATCCAGGCTTTGACTCAGATGGGTATAAGCATCAATATCCCGTTACTATCCCTATACTTTACAGCTCTCATTTCCTGAGTGCTGTTAAGTGAAAATCTGCTGTACTAGAGACAGTAACATGAAGGTAGCATTAATCAGTGCATCTGTCATCTCTGTAAAGTTTAGAATAAACGTATATTTACATCTATATCTCACTATTTGTTTTTAAAATCAGGCATTACTTTTGTTGCATCATTTCCAAACTCACTATTCACTATTTAGCAGCCTTCCTGCAAGACACAAAATTCATTGTGCAATAATTTCTAGCAGACTGCAGGAGTGTAGAAGTAGACAGTGCTTCCTTCAAAAAATGGAATCATCTTTCGCAGATGTAGATGTGTACTTGTTATGCCAAGATGAGACAGATGTGGCTCTATTCACTCAGGGACAGGTGCGGAGGAAGAAGAGATAAAACATTTGTAGAAAGTGTAAGCAACTGCATTGCTGTTGTTAAATAAATAAACATTCTGCCAAAAAAAAAAAAAAAAAAAAAAAAAGCTTATTTGCTTATTTTTTCCAGAATGTTTATTTTAAGCTGCAACTTCGCTGTGATTTATTCAGATTTCTGTTCCTGCATTGATTTAGATTTATAATATGCGTTCTATATAAAAACATCTGTTTGTATGTAACTGGGGGAAGGTACCTTGGCACACACTGAGAGCACATACGCACATGCATACACGCAGCTAGTGTGTAGAAAATGGACATAGAGGTACAGGCATAAAGGTGAAGGGTGGAAAAATATCTTCATTAATTTAATGAGCCTCTGTGCACGTGTGCAAAGGGCTGGGAGAGAGAAGAGAAGCAGATGCTGGTGTTGTCTCCTGTGGATTAAGCCAGTTCAAGCTGTGGATTGCAGGACTGAAGTTGGTAACTGTCGAAGAGCCTCGTTGGCCTTTGACCAAATGGACACTAACAGGAAAGCTCTGTACAGAGTCTTCCTCACTTATCCCATGGGAAATGTGTGCAATGGTTTGGAGCGCATGAAAGAGCTTGAAAAAAAAGATAAAACTTTTATCAAAATTGGCTCCTGTTATTAGTCCAGGAATGGCTGGGGAAGAGGGTCTGCAGGCAGATTGCTGGGGCTGAGGCTTGGGATCAGCAGAGAGGAGGTAACTCGGTTGTTGATTCACTTGTTAAATGTATTGCTGCTTAATATATATTGGTTTATATGTATTAGTATATTGGTTACTTGTGGGTTTTTTGTTTTTGTTATTGTTTCTTTGGTTCTTTTTTTATGTGTTTTCATTGATGTTGTTATTTCTTATTGGCCTTCAGTCCAGCTCTCTGCAAACTTGCCGTGGAAAGAGCTACACATCACAGGCTTGTCCTCCAACCATAATAAATCCCTCTGCATGGGTATAGACAGCAAATGCTACCATGTGTCCCTTGGAGAAACCTGTATTTTCTTTATCTTTGAATGGTGGGATTAGATGATGTTTATGGTCACTTCCAATGCAAGCCATTCTAGAATTCTGTGATCTTGGAGTCATCAATGAGGGTTTTGTGATGAATGGAAGAGTTTAACATTAGGTCAGCAGGATGGAGAGACCTGGTGCGGTTGGGGAGATTTTTGTCCGGGGCTTTTGCTGCATCATTTTGGAGAGCCTGGGCATATGTATTGCCTGCAAAATTGTTCTTCAAGATAGTGATTGCTAAGGTCTGCTTTGCCTATTTGGTGCCCAGCTTTATGCTCATTTGTGGCCAGATTTGTTAGAGGGGCAGCTTATAGTGCACCAAGGACTTTGTTCCTCCTAGGAACAGCAAGTGAGAATGAATGCCGATGAAAAGAGAGGTGTGCCACAAAGCCTGGATGGAGTTGTATTGCTTTTCTTTGAAATATTTAAGCGAGCCAGGGGAGGGAGGAGAGCAGGGATGATAAAGACGGTGATGGAAGGAGGAGTGAGGATCTGCGGCTATGAGGAAAACCAGGAGGAGCGGAGCAAAAGAGAAGGATGGTGTGATTTGGGGGG